AACCCCGTAATGTGAAGCTTCAATCTCATCTATAATAATAATAATGGATTCCACGCACCAAGGCATACTCAAAGCCGCTAACATTAATTGCCCCAATAACCCAAGCTGCCTGTAAGGCGCTTGAAGGATTAACATTCATATATGACTTATGCCACCGGTTAACCATCTCACTGCTGGAGTGAACAGAGGTAATTCATGAACAAACACACTTTACCCAGCAGGTGAGACCACACGTGTCACGTGTAACTTCTTTGTGGGTCAGGACTGACGTTCCATTAACTTTCAGGGCCTAGATTTACGAAGCTCTTAGCGCTAAGATAGTCGTAAGTGCCATACATTAACATTAACTTACGACTATCTTAGCGCTAAGAGAGCTTCGAAAAGCATGGTCCCCAAGTTCTGTCCTCGACTAACATTGCTCAACTCTGATTTGTGACCTGGGTTCTATGCACAGGACCACACACCACCACACATTTCTAAATTTTCACAGGATAAGTATGAACACATGTCGTTTTGTCTTGTTTTGAAGGTTACAAATTAGTTCCACTGCTAGTGTTGGTGGTCGTGGCTGTCATCCTCAGAGCATATCTGACATTGAGTAGGAATGAAAGTCGACGGCCAGACACTATGGAAAATGAAGACACCACTCGTTCAAGTGAGAGGCTAGAGTCTATTGACACCTCTCGTTCAACTGAGACTCCCGGTAAAGTTAAACATTAGGAAATGAAATTCTTACAGTTGTTAAGATTAGAAAATGAAATTTGATGTAGTCTACCATGAAAGCAAGAATGATTTGAAAATGGTGCTCTCTTGCAACGCATAAATATACATGGGTACAGAGTAAGAGTATCTATCTTAGAATATTCCGTAAAGGGGTCAAAGTTATTCAAATGTACATTAAATATTACTTATTTTCTAGATTAAAATAGTTTTGACATATTATTCTGATTTAGTCAGAATCACAGCATCGACAAGATTGGGATTGTTTCATATGGAAAGAGTTTTGGCGTTTTCATTATAGGTTTCATGTATACCATTGTTTCAAAATATATTATATTTATTATATTTAATATGATAAGAGTTAATAATAATTGTAAAGCATTTATATAGCGCCCAGTAGCCATCTCTTGCTCACTGGACGCTGTAATCACGTACCCATTTTCTGAACAGAGGCAATTTTGAACAAACTCACTTGCCTAAGGTGAGAGCATATAAGGCCGGGTGGACAACTTAGGAATGGCCAGCGAGTCCTAACTTGACACATAAGGAAGCGATCTACAAAGACATATTTTATATCATTGGAAAGATCTCGAGGAGACGAACATAAAAAGGGTGTTCACGTGTTCATAAGCTCACAAATTGGCTCTTCAAATGCATTTCTGAGATGGCCTAAAAGTCGGGCCGCCGGTTACTACTAAAAATGGATTGCAGAATATTAAAACGAAATCTGCACATTCGGGTAGATACACTTCCTGCCGTCACAGATGTATAGTTTGATTGAAAATGTATCGCGAACGATAAAAAAAACCCCCAAAAAACAAAACAAAACAATGACTACATACCGAGAGTCCAGTAGAAAAGACACCGTCTTCATATGTGTTTTCCTTGATATGTCTATGTGAGAAGGTTACTAACTTCTCTTAGCGTCTGACGTGTGAATTCCTGGGCAGGAAGTGACAGTGTTTTGACTTCATTTCTTTCCTTAATTAAAATATTGGGGCTCCCTGATTAACCTATATTGTCTCATGCTGAATCAGCACAGGACGTTTATGGTAATGAGAAGTGGATATTGGCGAGTGTCAGTGGGAAAATATGGCATGATTTTATATGTTAAAAGAAATATATTAAATCACAACCTTTTGTAATATGTTATAAAGGATCAAACAAAGTATACATTCGTACATACTAAATTTCTTATATGTTTTCAATGTATACTTAAAAGTAAACAACACCAGCCCAAATCCGAAAACCAACGCGTATGCATGTGCTTAAATTTACTAGTACACATGACTGGCAAAATGGTATCATATCTACCTAAATACCACTTCACAGAGTCTCAAAGTGAAGCCCTCTTTTCTATATATTCTCAACAAAGACACTGTATGGTCCGGGCTCTCAAACCCTCACACATGTATCCTGAATTGTGCTTAAATCTATATATTAGCATTCTATCTACCTAAATATCACTTTACGATGTTACAAAATGCCACATTTAAAGATAATTGGTTCGTTAACCTGAATCCCTTTTCTCTATCTCCATTCCCAACATAGCCTCAATCAAAAGTCGTACAACTACAGTACAGTGCGCGTACAACTACTCACTCACTCACTCACTTAACGTACAACTTAAACTGCACATATGCATCCTGATTTTTGTTTACATCCGCAGATTAGTATTATACCGACCTCAATCCCTCTTTATGCAGTCTCAAAGCGTAGTATTTGAAGCAAACACGTTGCTCAAAGTAAACCGTCTTTTCTATATATTCTCAAGAAAGACCGGCTTGGCTCGGGCCATCAAAAGCAACTTAAACCCCACACATGTATCGTGAATTGTGTTTACATCAATAGATTAGTATTATATCTTGCCAAATATCACTTTGTGATGTTACAAAATGCCCAGTGTAAAGATAACTGGTCCGTTTAAGTGAAGCGCTTTTCTCTCTCCCTTCCCAAAATAGCCTCTATCAAAAGCGTTTAGTCTCTGTTCGGCCCGTCATTTGATAGAGGCTATGTTGGGAAGGGAGAGAGAAAAGAAGTTATACGCCCTTGGCGAGTGGCGGACATGCTTTTGAAGCTGTGAAAGAGCTGTGAAAAAAATTGTCCAATTATCTTATACAAAGAAGAAATCGAGCGATCAACATCTACAGTAAGATCAACGTTAGTATCTTCAAAGTGTTTCTCCAGTTTGATCGCCGATTCACAACTTTTAACGCTGGTGGAGTTGGATTTAGTCTCGTCACAGGCCTTTGTTGAAAATGTCAAGCCGGGGCCGGGCTTAGTCTCACAACATCGTCCATCCAACCTTGTGTAAATTTAATCGACTGATGAGTTATGCTACTTCTATGGTTTTAAGAAATCTTGCCTTGTTTATCTTCTATCCTAACAGACGTCGTCGATAGAGCTTGACGGCTGCCAATGTATAACGTTGTACCATGTGCCGAAAGAAATAAAGAAAGAAAGATAGATGCACGAAAGAGACATCATACAGAGGCTGAACATTCACCTGATACCCCGGTTAAGAAGCAGAAAAATGAGATTTGTGAAAAAGCGTTACCGATTGCAAGTGATTCGAACATAAACAATGACTCGCTCGCCATTTGCACGAAAACGGTGTCCGATGTTTTGACGGCGATCGAGAAGCAAACACATTATTTTGAAAAGAGATTCGATGCTATTGAATGTAAATTGCTTGGAAAAATGCAATCGATGTCAGAAATTGGCATTGAAAAGGTGAGAAGTGAATTGCACTCTGGTTTGAACAGTGTGAATGCTGAAATGCGTGAGCTTCGTGACGATCATGCACGTGTGATTCAGAACGTTCATCGCGGACGTATTCGCAAGTTGCAAGTTCTGCGCCGGACACGAAACATCTGTTACAACATCATTTAAAGTAAGTCCATATCAAATTATCGAAACATGGTGTCTAATTGCATTGAATTAACATGATTCTGGTAGTGAAATAAAAAAATACTGCCAGAAATTTCTGCAGGAAAACAATTCTGCCGGAAATTTCTGCGGAAATGCATTTTCAGAGCCAATTTGTGAGCTGATGAACACGTGAGCGCCTGGCACATGAACTTTTTGGGTTCATCTCCTCGAGATCTTTCCAATGATATAAAATAGGTCTCTGTAGCTCGCTTCATCCTGTGTGTCAAGTTAGGACTCGCTGGCCATTCCTAAGTTGTCCCACCCTGCCTAATATGTATCACATGTGCTTCGTTGTGGGGCAGGACTGAAGTCCTAAAAACTCTCAGGAGTCAAGCTGCCAAACACGGTCAACCCATCCAAGGACTCTCCGAGTTTTGACGTTTTCACGTGTTGATTTCATGCCAATCATTGTTTCAGACTATCGACTTGATCAAGAGACACACTTTACAGAACTGTTAAAACTCTACCAGCTGAAAATGGAAGGTATGTCTAATATTTAAGGAATTGGCCTTACAGTAGGCAGTGTAAGTTTATTAAACAAAGGTCATTTCAACGCCAGATACTCATAACACTGGGTACTCAGTGCTGTGAAGAGCAGCAACACAAACCTCCACTTATAATGTAATCATACAAAGTACACGTTGCTTTGACCATAACATGGAAGCGCAAATGGTTATTAATAAGGAGATGTATACTAAAAGACAACATCATTTGAAACCCGGTTAAAGTACCCAACAGTCATTCTTTGCCATAACCTAGGGAACAAACACAGATCGAATCTTTGGGTTCGTGGGTTCATTGCTCCTCAAGGTTGAAATATTTCCGACTTTTAATGTTAATGTTAATAATACACATTTAAAAAATATACTTTGTTCTTAAATGTTCGTTTTACATTCGCAGCATCATTAGGCATTGGCTCTAAGGACTTCAATACTCTCCGCCAGATGAATGTTCGGAAAGCTTGCCACCAAGTAATTTTGCCCATTCACAGCTTATCAAATCAATTTAACAGGCATAATTATATTATATACCCAAATGCAGAATTTCATTCACGCCTTTCAAAACATTTCACAAACGCATTCTGAACGTCATAATTTTCAACGGAATTATTACCAAACCAAACTGACAACTGAACATTTCTCAGTATTATTTCAATGTAAGGCTAAACACAAATGATAATGAGTGAGTGAGTGAGATGAACGTTCATTGAATGACCATTGTCGAGGAAAGCCCAAACTGACGTTAGACGTTGAGTTGGCTCCTGTATGTTCACTATGAAATAAAACGACCAAGAATAATCATGTAACGTTCATCTTTATCTCTTTTCTGATTGTCTTAGAAAAACTATGTGTTGATCCGAAATGCAAACACACCGAGCCACAAAGTCTCTCAGCCAGACTTCACAGCGTCGTGGATTTGGCGAGTTCTGCGGCCGTGACGACTTTGAACAGAATCATGCAATTAAAAGAGATGCAAGTGAAGCCTACAGGAAAACAGATGCTCTTCATCACTGGAGCATCGGCAAACCACTATCTTGAGTCACAAGCAATGCTGAAGAACTTTCATGAAGTGGTCCTTCCAAACATGAAGAATTATTCGCTCATCTATTATGATCTTGGACTTACGCTCGAACAACGTGCACAGGTATTTCGATCGTAACATGTTGTTCGACTTTCTTGAAATAATATAGAACTAATTTTATATACATTTCTCACATTGCTTTCTTTCACGTGAAGTCTTTGTTTTTGAGTCGACGAAAAGTGGGGGGTCTGATCATTTACCTCTGTAATTCATGCCCTCAATATATTGGGAAGACACATACAGAGGCTTTTATTGTTTGAAGTACTAATTTTTGTCCTGCTTGATTTTGTCCATCATTAGGGACAACTGAACAAATGACAGACCCTTTTAAGATAAACGTTTTACAGAACGTCTGTAATCTAACGAATGAGAAAATACGGACAAATATCGGCATGGGCTCGCTAAGAAACTTTTATATCTTCCCCGTGTTTGCTTGGCCGCAGCTATAGATTTTTTGCAGAATAAACCTGCAGTCGCTCAATACGGAGGCCTATTGGTACTGGTTGAGTTGTACAGATAAGGGCATTCATTGAAGCTTTGTTGTCGTGCACCAGTATATACACTAGTATGCATGTCATCTTCTATTTTTGCCCAGCTTGATTTTTCCATCAATAGCCACAATTGTTTCAAAGGTTCATCCACAAAGGATATTTCTATCATGTTAGTCCTCGTTTAATGGTTGGGGTTTTCAAAAGAAAATGAACCGATTGATACATTTTGACATTGCTAGATACTTAATTTTCAAGATGGTTAGTGGTGGAAGATAGATGAAGTAGAGTACAATTATTGCCCCTCCGAAATTAAATATAAGCATTATTCAAAGTATTTTATTCGTACCACAATTGTAGTATAATTGTGAATTTAAATTGCTGGTTAAAATGTCTTACAAGCGCCAATAGCTAAAAGTATCGTAGAAACTGAAGGATTGACTGGGCTTCACACACTGTGCCCATGTGGGGAATCGAACCTGGTGTAGCAGCCCAGAATACCCACCCACCCCCACCCCCAACCAGATTATACCCCGGGTGAACTACAGGTTAGCCCAGTTTATATCCCGGGGTATATTCTGGACCAGGCCAAATTATACCCCACCAGCCCAGACTATACCCCTACAAAATTATGTTGACAATTCACTCAATACGAGTGTGTGAGTGTGTGACGCCGGGCAATAGTCTCGGTGTCATCTAAAGGCATTTGATTTACTATATCGCATTCAAACTTCAACATGGATGACAACCTCTATACCCAGATCTTGTACTTCTACACCAGCTCTGATAAGACGTATCCTCAGCACATCTATGACCTGGATCCTGACAGGCGTCTGAATGCGAAGTCTCAATTTGGGCAAACTGCATGGCCATTTCTTTTAGAAAACGGAACTCTGTCTTTGGGAAGTGCACACCAAAAGCCGCCTACCCACCATCCTGAATGCATGCCATGACATCCCAGCTACAGGCAGAGATAAAACCTTCGGCAAAATATCCTTGCGTTATTATTGGAAAGGTATGAAGAACGACGTGCAAGAATATGTCAAGACGTGTCCGAAGTGCTTTGTCATCAATCCGAAAGTCAACACAGAAGCACCACCACTCCACTCCATTCCTGAGCCTGCTAAAATCTGGAGCCTCGTTGGAATTGATATCATCGACCCTCTATAAGAGACAACAGGCGGCAACAAGTATATCGTTGCGGTAAAAGCGCGAAGTCGGTTGCTCTGTTTCTTTTCCATGTCATCTGTCGACTGGGCTGCAGGGACACATTGATCAAGGACGTGAATTTCTTAATCACTTATTTTCTGTAGTGGTATAACCTTGGCTGGGGGGTATACTATGGCCTAGTCCAGAATATACCCCGGGGTATAAACTAGACTAGCCCAGATTATACCTGGGGTATAATTTGGGCTAGCCCAGTTTAACCCCGGGTAAAGTCTGGTACAGGGGTATACTCTGGCCTGTTACCGGGCCTTCGGCGTGATGAGCGAACGCTTAAGCTTTAACCACTAGGTTACCCCACCGCTCCTTATCCGTGCAGGAAGCAAAGTATTGTACGTTACCGTCAGGAGATTTACCTTTATGTTGCTAGCGATCTGTATCCCGTTTAGATATTGTATTGTTAAGTATCGTGAGATATACTGTAGTTTCTTTCCTTTGATAATTTATTTTATATCAACTTCATGTATGTATTATCCATGTGTTACTTTTCGAGTTATGATATGGCTGAAATACTGTCAATATGACTTTCAATTTTAACTTTAATTTTAAATATTCAGCCTATTGTAAAACCAATACTCTCTTTAAACAAATATACAGAAGTGCGGTTTTCTTTTGTCAAATTAAACTTGCTTCAACACTGGAAAAGCATTGTATCATGTGTAATCTCGGCGTCACGCAGAAATGTTTTATTGATCTAAACATATACCTATACCTAGTCCTTATACATGCAGATGAAGTGAATTTTGCACTGGCATAATTTAACGTAATGGTTTTACACACATAGCAGGTTGAGTGTACATAATTGTATCACATAAACAATGTAATATAAGTTGAGTGTATATAATTGGGTGTTGGGAAACAGTTTGTTTTCACGGGTAATCAATCGTTTATGACAGCTGCCAAAAGCGTTTGACAGCGTCTTAGTTCTTCTCAGTCTTGCGAACTAATCGTACAACTATAAGGAAAACGCTGCTGATCAATTATGAACTCTGTTGACGTTTACTGAATATATTAATGTACTGTTGCTCTGATATGTCCATGAAATCATTACTATGAATTAATATACATTACTGGACAGTGAGGATTGTGAGTAAATGTTTATCTTCAGTTGCATAACCATGTGCTATTCTACATTGTTTAGCCTAATTCATATATGGTCGTGCCCCAGGCATTAATTTCTTGAAGCAATTTAGACTATTGTAGCAAACTGGAATTAATAATGTGATGGAAATGTATCAGTTACAAAGTCTTTGAAAATTGTCATTGTTTACAGGTGCAGAAGCACTGCAAATGTGAGGTGAGGGTGTTCCCTGTTACAAAACTAGAAGACTGGATGAAGAAGCTGAAATGTTATGCTTGGAAACCGCTGATAGTACAGGTAGTTTAAACGTTTAATGATATCATATGGATCTGGACAATATGGATTCAGTTATATCCCACGGCTCACAAAGAGGTACAACCTCCTATGCCATTTACACAAACGGTGCTAGGTATACGAATACATGCACAGTCATCAGTGGAACCAAGATGAAGGGATTGGGATTAAGGGATGAGTATTGGAAAATCTACTAAAAAAGTCTATGTTATCAACATCAACATTACTGCCCGACCATTGAACAGTTATGCCTGAATATTCCCCAAACCACCGTTAAATATGCATCGTTAACTTTCAGGCTAATATTAGGTCTGCTGACATGCTGGTTTGGTTGGACGCTTCTTCGAGACTTACAATGAAGGGATTGAAGGAAACACTGGAGGATGTCAAATCTCAGGGAATGGTTTTACGACCTGGTGGAAAAGTAGCAATGTCTCAACACATAGACAAGCAAATGATGCAATACTTTAATTCCACAGCTTGTGCTTATTCCCCCTACAGAATGACAAGTGGTTCTTTTGTTTTCCTCCATAATGAACAGTTTGTAAGAGATGCAATAGTCACACCATGGGCTATGTGTGCTGTAACCCAAAATTGTATCTGCCCTCAACATGCTGTGTTATATTGCAATCCAAATATTCATAGGAATGGAAAATGTCATAGATATGATCAAGCTGGATTAACTATGATTGTTACGAAATTGTTTGGCCAATATATTGAAAGTTTCCGACTCAATAAACTTTCATACAAGGTCAAAAGGGGAGACAAATATAAATATTTTGATTACTTAGAGTCACAGGAAAAGCTAGGTGTTAATTGAGAGTTACAATAAATGATTTAATTCACAGTGCATGTAATATTTTTAAAACAATCATTTGAGGATATGTAACCTTCAAAATATGTACAATTAGAGTGACATTTAAAGGTCACATGCAACGTAAAACACAACTTTGCAGATTCTGATACCTTTCGGTATGGACTTACCGAAACAAATCATCAAAAATGCAAATTCAACTTATAAAGTTGAAAAATAATGCGATGAAAAAAAACCGCGCGAAATCGCAGTTCAAACGATTCACTAATTTTTCTCCAGCGTTTGGGGGGGGAATTCAAGTGGTTCCAACAGCTGGGCTGCGCTCATAGCACGTGCGCAGTGAAAAAGGTTCGCGCAACTTGGAAGCAGGTTGTCAGGTGAATACTCGGTGAAGGCTTTGGTGTGAGCTATTTTTCTAATGTTTTGTTGATATCTCACAGGCATGAGCTTTTTATTGTTATGACAGTAAATTAACTGTTTATATAATTTCATTTGTCTATTTCACCACACGTTCTCCTAACCGAGTCACTTTCTCAGTTCGATACTTAAAATCAATGTCATTAATTTGTGTTGACAGAATTTCTAACTGTGATATACATATGTCGTTGTCACAGAAAAAACTCAATGGCTTGTTTTATTAACACCTGTGTGTCTGCCTGCCTGCCTGTCTGCTAATGACAATATTCAATACACAACTTCGATCACTGACCACATGCAATTTGAACTTAACACCATTCAGGCTATACACCATGAACAAAATGCATTGATTTATGGCCCGAGTTCGGTCTCTGTCACATTATGTAATTACACAGACAGGCAGGTGTGATACTTTGACACATGACATGTTATGATGTATGCTGATTGCAAAATGTTATACACAAAAAATGAGCATGTATTTACAAAGCTCAACATCTCTATATATACACCCACAATGAGCCGTGAGGGCATCTGCAAATGAACCAGCCGTTACACTTGAGTGCACACCGACCCGCTCTGACTGGGTTCGGTATCCCAGCTGCTTCCTTTTGAGGGAAGTAAACCCAAGTACCCAATATTGCACTTTTGATTTGCGATTGTAGGCTTATAATTTTGTTTATATGTTTTTTCATAACCAGCAATGTATATTATATGTCATGAATAAGTGATAATTGTTTTTTAATTATGTCTGATTTTTGGGTTGCATGTGACCTTTAAGTAGACATATAGAAGGGTCTTACCTGGGATGTGTCCTGGCTTTAAAACCAACAATATGTCCTTTTTTTATTCTCCCTACAGAATGACAAGTGCGAATTTTGTTTTCCTCCACAATGAACAGTTTGTCAGGGATGCAGTTGTCACACCATGGGCCATATGTGCAGTAACTCGGAATTGTATCTGCCCTAAACATTCTGAGTTACACCGCGATCAAAGTATTCGTAAATATGGAAAATGCCATAGATATGATCAAGCTGGATTAAGAATGATTTTTGCGAAATTGTTTGGCCAATATATTAAAGGTTTCCGACTCAATAAACTTTCATTCGAGGTCAAAAAGGGAGACAAATATAGATATTTTGATTACTTAGAGTCACAGGTCAGCTAGGTGTTAACTGGGAGTTAAAATGAAAATAATACACAGGCTATGTATGAATTTCAAATCAATCCTTTGAAGATATGTAACCTTCAAAGACATTTAACATTCCAAATATATACATTTAAAGTAACATTTAAGTACACAATAAAGAAGCGCCTGTGTCCTGCTTTTGAAACCAAAAATATATCTTTTGGTGGTGGTTGTGTGGTGAACGGCGAGTGCTGCTGGCGATTATATGCATTTTCAGAGACGAATGAAACTTCACAAAAATAAGGTGGCATAAATAACATTCTGTGAAAGAGTAGTCACACGATACCGTCTCACGGGGACAATACCTTTACAGTACTTCAACCCTCGTCGAGGACACAGCCACAAATAAAAGTTAATTGCTATACACTACCAATATAGAAAATAAGTGTAAAATCAAAATGTATCAACAAGTTCAATCTCCCTACAAAACATTGAGAGTTAAATGAGAACTATTAGTAATGAAATATAATTCACAGATACTTCCTTGATTGATCTTTTCATCACAAAGGATACAGAATGGACAATCATCACAGTACAAGCTCATCAGTGTATCAGTAACTGTTGTGGTCAATCGCCTTAGAATGACGTCTTCAAATCTTGACTGACAGGCAAAGTAGGTCAAACAAGTAATGAATTAACACTCGACCCCCATTTGATGCTGGAAGGAACTGGATCTGAATATTTACGTTTACCATTTTGACACGTTAACTGAAGGTGTCAGTCTTTTCTATACCCTGTTCATTGTTATTAAACAAGTCGTCTACAAGCTCATCAGTGTATCAGTAACTGTTGTGGTCAATCGCCTTAGAATGACGTCTTAAAATCTTGACTGACAGGCAAAGTAGGTCAAACCAATAGCAGTTTGTATTGCATTTATTGATACCAACTTGGTCATCTTTGCATCAGATCACGGATGCAACTTCTAATAACAGGTTTATTATAACAGTAAGGTATCAGAAGTAGTGTCACAAACTTGTTGAGTGTGGCCTTAGCAGCAGATTTGGCCATTGTGTCAGGTAAATCCAACATGGCTGGGCAACCCACAAACGACAAAGTCGTATTGACCAGAAGCAAGATCATTATGCTTTTCCATAATTTCCATAAAGTCGATGTCCCAGGACAGGTTATTAAGAGCCTTAAGGCACAAAAGAGTCAGCAAATATTTTAAATTGTTTATGTTAAGAATGTTCATTGATATATTTTAAGTTGTTAAAATGGGTTTATCGGGTTTTCTGAATGACAGAGTCCTGAGCAGTGGATCCATATGTAAATGTAGATTTATAAGTGTCGTAAGTGTTCCTTAACTCAATATATTCTTGTTGATATTATATTTGATTTGTGTCAGAATGCTATAATTTAATTAGGTAAAATTCACCTTTGCCTGATCAATTGGGGAGAAAGGAAAATTATAGATTCGAGCTCATTGTTAGCAGCAGAAATGCATGGTTACATTTTTATACCTAGAGGCAGAATAATTGAGTGTACAATTCCTCATGAAAAGGATTACTTACACAGCTGTCTGTAAGGTTTGATTTATCAGATTATAGTTTTTTGATGTATTGTAAAGATGATTTGATACAGCGACGTTTTAAAGATGGCCTCGGCGTACAGAGTATCAACTAGTATCAACCATCGAAAGAAGAAACTATGCGTCTCCGCAATTGTCAAGGAAAAATTTATTTCGTTGAAAGGCATTATAGAAGTTGGAAAGATGAAGGAAAACCAAGTTCTATGGATAGTCAACTTCTTCACTGCAATGGATGCGACGTTTTAGTGTAGATACTAACCCCGCTATCAAGCAAGTGATACAAAGAGTTGAACAAAGGAAAATATATACATAGCTGCATAGTAAGTATATACAATTGACAAGGTTGATGTACATTGGATGGCTAATTAGTTATTTGAGAAGAGGAGGTTGATGTACAGAGGTGACTGGTTGTGTACAGATTCAGATACATAAGCAAAGTGAGTTTATACATTGGATGAGGTAGATGTGACATTTATTCCTTCATCTAACGGCTTGCTACACATATGCACATACAAGCGAGTATTTGAAGCTTAGTGTGTGGTGAAACACTTTGCAGAGCACAATGAGAGTATTTTAACGACTTATGACAGCCGCAAACAGTTATAACACATGATCGGTGATTAAAAGCATAAATAAGAATATATTTTTTGTCGGTTTGGTGGTTGTTGTTTTCCAAAAACAAACGATTAAAGATATTGCAATTTTGTGCACATCACCATCAAGTTTCTTTTCATAAAACAAGATTATAATTGCGATTGCCCTGTCACTTTCCGAAGGCGATTAGGTGCCTGACTCTGAGAGCGTGGATTTGAATCCTGGATTGGACTAAACCCAACGAAACTACTACAATCTTGACTTTCCTAAGAAAGTGTAATCCCAAGTATAGAATGTGTTACGCTTCAACCAGAGTATTTCATTAAACCCATACGGATATTGCCTGGGTCGGACACGGTCACTTATTGCGAACGACAGGTAGCATGACAATCGTATAGTAACTGACAAACACACACAATATAATAATGATATTAATAATACAGTATATTTGTAGAGCGATAGACTCCAGGCACTAGTGCATGCTCAAAGCGCTACAACTTCTTTTACAAGCTTATTATTATTACCACGGATAATCAAAGCTGCCTGTGAGGCGCTAGAGGGTTATAGTCACATGACTTCTCACACCGGATTTAAAACAAAAACTCTGCTTTTTCTGGAGGTATCTCATGATGGTTCTGTCTCAGTCAGTGAATGAGTGAGTTTAGTTTTACGCCGCACTCAGCAATATTCCAGAGTCTCGTCACATCACAACCTTCTGTACACATCAGGGATTGTACCGTTACAAGAGACTTATGTTTAGAATTGCATGTGCACCAGGGTGGTATTCATAAAAGAACTTAAGTCTGAAAGTCTTCACTTTTTCTGTCTTAAGTTTTGAGATTTTACTGAAGTCATATTCATAATGCAGCTTAGGCTTAAGTTTTGACTATTTCTGACTTAAATCTTAAGACTGGGCAGGGGTAGGCTTAACTAGAAGGTGTTTGACTTAAGTAAGTAAACAACATGGCTGCCGTAGCGATGAGGCGTCGTTCATTTCACCAAAATGGCAAAGGCTCGTTGAATACAGCGATGAAGAATTAATTCTGCGATACCGTGTAGATGGGCATGGCATTAGATTCGTCGCCAATCTAATAGCGCCAGACGTAGAGCCCACAACCACCCGTAAAACGACCTGAATGCCACACAAAAGACGCTCATCACATTGAGGTACTTTGCCACCAGAAAATTTGAGTTGTGCAATGCGAACGATCAAGCTGTCAGCCAGCCCACCATTTCCAGAGCTGTGAATGACTGCCTACGAAGTTTGTCATCTGACAGGATTTTCAAACAATTCGTTCGCTTCCCCCAGCAACTTCGTGACATCAGGCATCACCAGTCCAACTTTAATCAGCTTTCAAACTTTCCCGGAGTTGTAGGGGTGATCGACGGAACGCA